AAATCTTGCTCCACCTTCATATTGGCCTGGGTTATGCCACTACAGTATTTGTCTACGGTTTTTGTATTGACGTCACTACCTCAGAAATGAGAATTGTGTAAGTATTTTACATGAATTTTTGATTAGATAAATTAAAACGGGTTTTATGCTCAAATATGTTTACACTACTTCCTTAAAATATCAGATAAGAAACTTTTTTTCTATTGTTACTTTTCCACATTGAGCAAATCGTGTCATTCACTAAAATTGAGAAACATAAAGCACCACAAACCCAAATTTAGAATCGGGACCCGTTCCAAAAAATCTAATGCATCCAACTTATAGTGTTCTGATCAGTTATAACATACATTCGCTCCATGCCATTTACAAGTTTTGAAATAAAAGCCATGCTTCGATAGAATCAATCAAAGCGAGTCATATCCTAGCCAAATTTCGTTTAATTTATGACTACCGGAGATCTTCGTATCGTCAGTTTATAGCCATATAAATGAAGTCAATTGGAATAGTTTTTTATTCTTATACCATTATAGTTTAAAATAAGAGTGTATAGGTGGATAAATTTAATTTTAAAGAATGTTGCCTTTTATTAAAAAAAAATTTGCATAATTTTAATACATTTCCTTTATTTGGTATTTATATTATTATAAACTATAATTAAAGGGCCGGCGATGACCTCAGCTGTTTGTCGGCCGATAAACCTTCCACTATATATATATATTTATTACTCCGAGGAATATTACTCAATTCAAGGGCTACAAATCTATTATTTGTTGATTTTGGACAGAATTTGGAAACATAATTGACTTTATTCATCTACTCTTAATTTAGATTCTCTGTCAGTTTAGGATGTTTTTTTGGGCAGTTGGCCATACTATGGGTATCGTACATCAATTTTGTATCATGCTAAAACAAAAACAAAAAATATTTATTAATTTTCTCAGTCGCAAATTACGTATTTCAATAGGGATGTTATGGCAAATAATAATTTTTTTTTGAAGAAACAAACTTGATATTTTTCGCATACACAAAACATTCAATTCATATGTGTGGGGAGGAAAAAAACTATTTGCCTTTTTTTTATCTTGATCACTCTATTCCATATGCGAGTTAGTTGAGTGGATCAAGATAAAAATAAATTTTAACGACAAAGTAGGGAATAAAATGACAACAATATTATCAATATATGATAATGTAGTGTTTTATTTTTTCATCTTTCATCCATTGACGATGAAACCATCCCACTGATATACATGAAACTTTCCAGAGTTGTATAACCCTTTGACCTGTAATGGAACAAACCTGGCTTCCGCAAATAAATGCAAACCAAAGGTAAAATGAAACGTTAGACTTGCTTTTAGTGATTTCATTCTTATTTTTGTCACTGAGTTTTAATTTATTAAGTGACATAAAATTTTATTTGAATTACCATTGACCTACGAAAGAAGACAAATTTAGATTTCTAACGGTTGAAGTTGAATAAAATCCAGAGGTGTTGTGAATTTTTAATTTTTGTTATATGGGACATCGGTGAAAAAACTGCCCCCGTTTGTTCTACCCCAAAAAATTATATTTTTTTATTGTTATAAAAGTTCGTGTTAAACCTTTTTAAAGGTTGCTTGAAATGAATCCAATTTTTGAAGATATATTTTTTTTGTCCGAGAAGCTCTCAGCACGACTGAACGATGGCCATCCAAGAATCTAAAACGAATGTATTGGATAGTGTTACTCGATCCTAGGAGCACAATTTTAAAACAACTATCGGATAAATATGGTTTTACAAAACGCAATTTCCAGATGGGGTTAAAAATTTCTTTTTTTAATAAGAAAATACCTATAACAAAAAATAAATAGAATTTTACTTTGTGCCTTTGATTTTTTAAATTTTATTATCTTTGTGGTGTTTCTTATTCTTGGAACTAAATGTTCGTACTGAGGGCAATTAATCTTTATAATGGGAATCCAAGGCACCAAGAGAAGATATATAGTTTATTTATGGACTAGGCGAACCCTTAGGGCATAATTTTTCCCCTTACTATGACAACGGGCTGCTCGACATCTTTCTTACACGTAGCAAAGTTGTAAATTTTATAAATATACGTTGATAAAAACTTGAACGGAAGGAGTGAGTATAAGTAGATTAAATGTTTGCGTATTTTTAATTGTGTGTAGATTGGTTAGTACTGTTAAAAATTAAATTTTGAGTTAATTGCATAAATTATAAAAAGTTACATTAAAACTAAATCTTTTTCTGTTTTATTGGTTTATGTAATACGGCTAATAGAATAATTTTTTGATTCTTGAATGGAAAAAGGTGTACATGTTTTAGTATGATTTATCTCAAGTATAGTGCCTTTCAATTTTCCATGACGTAAGGAAAAATCAACAAATCAGCGATGGCATAAGAAAAAGAGAGTCGGTCAGACCAAAAATAAACGCATTTAAATTCTGAATTATCCGAAGATATTTTCCAGATAAATTCTCCTCATCGCGAACCCCCCAACTCGTCCTGTGCTCTGTAAATTTAATCTTGTAGCACCAGTCCAGAATCGCCCGGCTGTCGCGTACACGTGTCAAAATATAAAGTGGGCTTTGAGGGGCCACTTGAAATTGTGTCAACCATGCCTGGCCGTTCCAGGGTCGACAAACAATCACTGGCCTTCTCAATTTCAAACTGAAAAATCAAAATACTGTTGGTTTGCCTATAAAAAATCAAAATATTTTTCATTAACAGTTTAAAAATTCTAACATTTTGTATGCATTCTGTTGAATGTAGACTTAAAATAGACTAGACCTTATAGACTAGACTAGACTATAAAATAAACTAGACCTTAAAATAAAAACGATGGGATTATTCAGGATCCAGCGTTTCTGTGATTTCGCCTTTCTTTTAACCCCTGAAAGAGCTTTATTTAGCAGGATGAGGCAGCAATAAAAAAGGGATTAAGGCAACCTTGACGAGAAAACAGGGCGTGGATAGGTGGGTCTCAACCTTTATTCTCTTTACCCCCTCACGTTCTACTCACTTTTGTAAACAGTTTCACTTTTATTTTAATACAAATGAAAACAGCTCTTTTTTTCTGTGGATTTTCTTTCACAAGAGGACTCGATTTAAAAAGCAGGTAGAGATCATGTTTATGTAGGTCGGGAAGTATTTAAATAATTAACGACTAAATTAAATAATTAATGAGAGAAACTTATCTGTTCTAATTCAAAGTGCTTTTTTATTTTTATATTGTTATGTTATTTTATAAAACAGTTAAATAAAAAAATGCTTCTTGCAAATTTCAAAATGTAAAAAAAGAAAAGTCTGGGCTTTCAGACTTGGAAAAAGAGTGACAATGTGTGATACAAGGACTTGAAGTTAAAATAAACTTAGCCTTTTTCATTATAGCACCAGATTAGTGTCGTTGTGGAAACATATTTCATCCTTCGTTCCTTTTCTTTGTGTACGTCCATGTTCCTTGCAAAAAAATTTCTGCTTGTTTCTCATAGCGTTTGGCAGCTTTGCTGATTTGATTTTTATTAATGTAAACACATTAAAGAAAAGGTTCTAGCTCCAAACTATCATGTCCAGAGGTGCTTGTATGGAACAATGTCCGTTGGTATCTTACTGCATAAAACAATTTACAGTTAAACAATTTAATTTATACAAAGAAGTAATTAAAAATATAAAAAAATGGAAAAATTTCAACCCTGGAGGATCCCAGTCTTTCTTAGATAAAAGTCTGACTGTGACAGTATTGAAAAAACAGGATAAAATATGTATTTATGATTATATCTGGCTGAATTTAATGTATTAAACTAAAACTGTAGTACTAGCTATCCTTATTAAAAATTGATGATTCTAGGATATAAATTTATTTTATACGTACCGATCATTTTGTTCTCCCTGTCCTCGCTGGGTTGTTCTATCAGAATGTTTCGGCATTTCGCCATCTTCAGTGTGTTATTCATTCACGTTATTATTGCCAACTTATGAAGTTAACGTTGTTTTAAGAACAAAAATCTATTACAAAAATCATTACAAACTGTATTGCCAATATAATTTTGAAATACTGGACAAGCTTTTAAATCTTTTTTTTTTTAACGAGGGAGAACTTATGCTTTTAATGGATGTATTAACTTTTTGTGAGATTTCCCTGTAGTCTGCGGCGTGGTGAACATGTGATTTAGTCCTTATCCGTCATTTTTGTTCTGCCTTTCCTCGCTGGGTTGTGAAATACTTGACGACTTTGAAATCTGGTTAAGGAGGGATAATTTATGCTTTTAATTGGATGTATTAATTTTTTGTGAGATTTCTCTGTGGTATGCGGCGTGATGAACATGTGATTTCGTCCTTATCCGCCATTTTTGGTCTGCCTGTCCTCGCTGGGTTGTTCTGTCAGTAACGTTTCAGCATTACGCCATCTTCAGTGTGTTTGTGTGATTCTGTGAAGTCAAGTCTCTTGTACAAATAAAACAAACTTATTGTTCCGGTCGAACTTCGTGATCTAATGACTTTTTCTTTTTAATAATATTGTTATGAATGGAGTAAATTATGTGCATACGTTTCGTCCATTTTTTGTGTTGTGTAGCAATGTGGTGCCTTACATAGTTTTATGTATTGTTGAGCGTTTTCTGTGGGGTGAATCGCCTTGTTTGATCTTCCATCATTGTTCCTAAACGATCTTGTATGCTTTTATATCTGTCTAATTTTTTTGTCCTGTCTGTCCGTTGAATACAATCTCTCAGCGCTCCCATGTTATGGCGTATATGCCATTATTTTTGCAAGTGGATTGGTTTTGTCAATGTTTTGTTTTAGCAGTTTTCCGATTTTGATCGTGGTCTTTAATGCACGGAGGAATCTTATACGTTATATCCAAGTTATATACCAACATTCAAATTCAACTGTTAACAAATTTAATATGAAATATCATAATAAAATTACTGAGACATTCTTAAATATGAAGGGTTTTTTCTTGTTTAAAGAATATATATTTACATATTTATTTTCGTTTCAGGTGGTTCAAGCGAGATGGCATTCTTAATACGCTGTGATCTGTGATTTTCACCATATTAACTAAACCAAAGGTCTGTATTATTTTGTTATTTCATGTTTTATAAATATATTATCATAAATAAATATCTTTTTATAAATAAATGCATTTAATTACTTCAATATTGGCTAGTGTAATTGTTCAACTATTGTATTAAAAAATCTATTTATTTCTCTATTGTCGGTCATTAGTCTGTTTTTTACTATAAAAGTTTCATTTCACTATTAATTCACTGGCAAAAAGCTTTTGTGCATAATAACAACAGTTCTATGTTTGTAATATAAAAGGTGTATTTTAAGTTTAATTTTTTTCTCTTTCTAGTACACATTAAATAAAGGGAAGTTTATTGAGATTGCCTCATAAATGTACTGCACGCTGATTAGTACAGTTTACAAAACTATACAGGGTGTTCTTTTTAGATGGCACTGCTGAATTTCTCTTAAACCAAAAACGCTATAAAAAAAAGTGTTTAGTATTTTTTAATCTAGTTTCAAGTGGACGTTTGACTATTTTCTGAGGGGGCATTTCAAAATCCGTGTCTACGCCAATCATAAACCAGCAACCTCAGGTGAAGAATTGCGGCAAAGGATAGAAAATGCTTCTCAATCCCCTGACTCTATTGCTCTGAGCAAAGGTGGTTAAAAAGAGCAAATATTTGCACCTTTAAGGAAGACAACATGAAATATCATTAATAAATAGCAAACCAATAGCTGTTTTTTTTCAGATTTTCGGCCATAACTTTTTCATTTGACCAAGATAAAATTCAATTGTATTCAGTATAAAAAATCCTTTAAAATGATGTGTAGGGTCGTATTTTGAAATTTAGAAATTGAACTGGGCCAGGGGTACACTGTATAGACTGAAGACAAATCATGGCCTATGGGGTAGCTACAAGAAGAGAATCGGTTTGGCATCGTCTCCGAACTGTCCCACTTGCGATTGCCCTTCAAATCCTTCCCACATAATTTTTGAATGTACAGAATACGAAAATGAAAGAGACAAACTTCTAAACACATTTCCAAACCAATAAACTTAGAATCTGTCCTAACAAGCAACAATCCATCAGCTTTCAACATAATCTATGGATTTCTAAAGTCGATAAACCTTTCTTTTTGATTATCTTCAACCATGAAAATTTATAAGATGAGAAGATGATGGAGCTGAATGAGTGGGTGCGGGCGCGCAGCGGGGACCTGGTCCTGGTCGGCCGATCCCGCTCGACAGTAAAATGAAAATAGAAAACATCATGGGTAATATGCCAGCGTAAACCCCCCCCCCCCCCAAAAAAAAGGTAAACTATAATTGTAAAAATCAGAAAAAAATCAGTCCATTTTTAACTCGAAATCCGACTCACTCTGTATACGTGTCTGTTTATTCCAAAGAATAGTAACGCTGTTGGATGATTAATTTTACTTATATGTTAAAATATTAGTCGTTTGTCAACAGTATTATCCATACTTCAGCCAGAATATGAATGAAAGAACAAGAAAAAAATGGAAGAAAAAAGCTTTTTGCAGTAATTATAAATATGAAATTTTTCAAGGGTGTAAGCCTAAGAATGTAGTAATGTATTAATGCTCAAGGACAATTTTAACAATATAGAAATTCTAGGATATATTCTGGTTATTTTACATCTTTTAAACTTTGAATTTTTTAAACAAATGCTTACAGTTATTACTGTTGTTAGCGGTAGAAAGTTTATTGACGTGGTGACTGCATCGCTGTTTTATAGATAGGGAACACTGACGGGTGGAGTATTTATGACGTCTAGACGTTGGCATATGTGTAAACTATCGAGTCAGATCTATAAACTTGGTGTATTCAGAAAATCTGAATAAAGCAACGTGTTTTCCCCCAATAATTGCCTGGATTTTCCAGTATTTCATTTCATTTTAACGCCAATTTTTGACTTAATCGCTACAAAGACGGTAATTTTTTTATTTTGAAAATTTTTTTATTTAGAAACAGTGCTATAAATCGATGAGAAAACAATGGAGAATTTTATTAAATTTGTAGGATCAATACAAAACTCTGTTTACTTTTCCGTTTATAAATTATATTTGTTCAACAACTTTTACACTTCAGTTTGTCCGAACTATCAAAGTGGAATAAACCAATGTTTATTTTCCCTATTCTACGTTGTTTGAAATTCTATTCAAGAAAGAATTTAACAAAAAAGATCACTTGACAAAAAAAAACCCCTGTAAAGTTGGCTGCGACTGGCGACTTATAACTTAAAAGTTTTGATCTAAGGAACTTATGAGAGAATTTGTTGTTTTCCGCTTTGTGCTAAAAGCTTTCATATTATCGATTAATTTTACTGAATTCTTTTTAAGGCTTAAGTAAGTTCCAATCTTTTCACCTTTATGATCTACATATATAGAACGTTGTGGAACTCCTAAGACCGTGAAAATGAGCTTTTTTGCACAAAATTATTCTCTATTCTTGCCGCCTCTTCGCGGACTTCTCTTGGTGTGAGAATTGCCTTATAGACGTGGATATACCGTACACGGGCTAATTAATACCTCACTTTCACAAAGGTACCTAGGTTTTAGGTTTCTCAGGCGGCATGTTTCTGGCTCAGCTTTGCCCTTCTTCTTTAGGTATTAACAGAGCAGTGGACGGTATAGAGGCCTACAATTTCTCTCCAGCTGATAGAGAGGAGTTCCTTCATCTTCTTTGATGGATAATTATGAATGTCTTAGCAGGCTTCATACCTAGTGCTTTGTGTCCAGTGCTTGAGTTTTCTTTCTTAAACCATTTTTCCAGTTTCATCTTTAGCATACTCTCTGGTGTGGGTAGATGTGGTTCCGGACTGGAAGAGCTGCTTCTTCTTTAGCTAGTTGATCAGCTTGTTGTTTACTTTTATACCTTCTTGTCTCAGAACTCACATTAAATTACCATAGTTGTGTTTTCCTAGGACTATAAGGCAATAATTTAGTCATTCACAGACTAGTTTGGAGCTGAAAGCTTGACTGTCCGAAAAAAATCCATGCATCGTTCATAGTCTTCATCTACCCCTCTAAACAGATTGATTGGCATGGACCTCAGCTTAGTTTGAACCTATTCAGGGGGTTTTACGTGGGTGTAATCCCTTTACCCTTACACCTGATCCATTTTCGATTCAAAAGTGTACAATTTAAAGCCCCTTCCAAAAACTTGGAGTTGCTTTTTTGTTCCAAACGCCTCTGTTGTTTGACACTTGAAAGGGTTTTCCTCTCATTGAGTTATAGCCATCTTATTTATTTTAATTTTCTCCAGAATTTTGTGATGGCTTCTCCTTAGATCTTTTTCCATTTCTTTCAAGTTCATGAGTCTGTTGGCACTACCGAAAGCCACCTTTTGATTGATGTGTAAGGGAGATTGAAAGTATATATTGGTGACAGAAAAAATTGATGATAATGTGCCAAAGTGATCTTAGCCAGATGAACTTCGATTTGATCACGAACTTTAAATTGTTGTATTGAAGTGTGACGAAATTTGTTGATACAAGCCGAACCTCTCTCTCTCTCGCTCTCTCTCTCTCTCTCTTCCTCTCCCTCTCCCTCTCCCTCAACCTCTCTCTCTCTCTCTCTCTCTCTCTCTCCCTCTCCCTCTCCCTCCCTCTCTCCCTTCCTCCCTCTCTCTCTCTCTCTCTGTCTCTATCCTAAGTTTTATTAGTGAACTTATTTGTTGCATTGAAAAATTGCCCTACCTCATCTCCATTTGCTAATAGTTACTTGGCAAGTTAAACTTAAGATGATGGGTAGGAAATAGTCAATAGGTCTATTATGGAAAAGACAATTTATTTCTTACCCATCATCTTATTATAGAGTTCCACAAAAGCAGGATGGACTAATAATTTAAACTGAAATAAAAGTAACTTTTAGTAAACTAAAGAAATAATAGGCTTTGATAATTAAATTCTGAAAGGCTTTTACGTGGGTGATATAATGAAAAAGGATGTGGTAGGAAGGTTATCGATTAGCGACGACCTTGACTTAATCATTGGCCATGTTGTCAAGATAATTAAATAAAAAATGACTTTATTAAAGAAATACACTACATAAAGTTAATAACTAATAACAATCAACAAATTTTAATCTGAATAGCATCGGTTGTTTCAGGATCTAGCGGATAAAATGGAAATTCCCATGAGTCAGAACTGTGTCAGTCTCAACTGCTACTGGGAATACTAAAACAATTCACGACTTGTGAAGAGATGCTATGTTTTAACGTTTGTCCTGCTATTGCGGATAAAAATCTAAAAAGAATTATTTTTGATTAACCGAGCGATATATCACACTGATAATACTAATAGGAGAACGAAGAATTTCCAAGTGGTAGTCATATTTATTACCGGTAGAATATTTCAAGATAACGGCTTAAGTGAAATAGCCAAAGCCCATGAATTTAACCACATTTCGTCTTGGTTTTCGGTTTTCTGGGGCGATGTAAAATAACATTTATTTCCCCCTTACGCCTAAAAAGCCAAATACCTTATGTTTAATTAAAAAAAAAAAATCTTTAAAAATCGCCCTCTTAAGTATTCGCTGTATTTTACTTGTAGCACTGTTTTAAATAGGACCTTACTATTTTAACTGTATTATTAAATATTAATCCATTTATGTTTTACTGGTCAATTGACCAAGTTACTTCTTTCAATTAATTATACTTTTTATGTAATGTTGAGATAAAAAAAATTGAAAATGGCAAAAAGAGGGAAAATTCGAACGGTTGTAGGTTGAAATGGGAAGTTGGTGTCCAAGAGGATCGATAGCTCAAGTAGTAGAGTAGCGGCGTATTTAGCCGGAAGTCGTTGGTTCGAATCCCGCTCGTGAACTGATTTTTTTTTATCTCGACCAATACCTTACTTAAAGATTAATAAATTTAAATGCCATTTTCAAATGTCGTATAATCTATTTGATTCTCGGCGACAAATGCAACGGAAATCAAATAGATTACACGACATTCAAGTCGTAGAGTAGTGGCGTATCTAGCCGAAGTTCGTGGGTTCGAATCCCGCTCGTGTCACTGACGTTTTTTCTCAATCTA